AGTCACATTAGGATTAAAGTAAGTTAGTTAATTAAGTCACATTGAGTTAAGAATTTCAATTAGTAACATTGAGTATTATCTCTTATTAACTCAAAGTGGTCCACAATTAACAATTAAAGAAGCATTATCTCTTAATAACTCAAAGTGGTCCACAACATAAAGGCATGAATACAAACAAAAAATTCCAACAAAAAATAAAGTAGTGGAATAAAGTAGACAAAGTAATGGAATAAAGTAAACCAAAGTCAAGGGAATCTGAAACTATACCTTACCAAACCAACAAATCATAAACTAAAGGTCCACAACATAAAGGCACGAATACAAACAAAAAAAAACATTTCTTTAACACAAAAAACTGAAACGTGAACTTCATTTTCTGGAAGTGAAACCCTATAAAGTGTACTTCATTTACACTCTAAAACAAAAATAAAAATTCTTTAATCCAATAACTAGAACGTGAACCCTAGAAAGATTTTCACTATAAAACGCATATTTTACACAATAAATAAAGAAACAACAAGAAAACTATCGGAAAAACAGCAACAACAGATTTATTTACTATATATGAAAGCAAATCGAAAACAACAAAACAAGAAAACTATGAAATCGAATGGGATATTTGGGTACCTTTGATGAACACAAGTTGAATCAAAGAACACACGAAACATTCGATGAGACAAGGTGGAATCGACGAAGACAAACTAAAATCGCGGCGACGACTAGGGTTTTGGTGTGTGAGATACGCGGGGACCTCCGACTAGGGAAAAGGGACGGATTTTGGTGTGTCAATTTGGATGTTTTAATTAGGATTCTTTTTAGAGGAAATTGGGTGGGTATTGGGTTATGGGGCGGATAGTTGGGTTATGGGTTAAAAAATGATCAAACGGGTAGTTCAATAGGGTTAAGACACGTGTAAGAATTAGGGGTCCGTTAGTGAGAAGGGTATATGTGTACCTATAATTGGACGGCAGGGGCATATGTGGACGCAAAGTATAACGGAGGGCATATACGTACCATTTATTAAAGTTCGGGGGTAAATCCGTCCCTTTTCCCTAGATTAAATGTAACTTTTGGATTCCATACTAAAAATATGTGTTTGTTGACATTGTTGCCTTAGGAGTGATTGCAAATACTGTGAAATTCTAAACTATGTACAGTAACAACTGAAATACTGAAATGATGCACATTTTAATACTCCTCCTCAAGCGCAAGGGTGCAATATGTTAAGCATTCCCAGCTTGCTCAACAAGTACAAGTGTTGGGCATGACTTAACCCTTTGGTTAACAGATCAACTTCTTGTTGTTGTGTGTGTACATATAATGTTTGAATCAAACCAGCCTTTACTTTGTCTCTAATGAAATGACAATCAATTTCAATGTGTTTTATATCTCATGGAAGATAGGATTTGGTGCTAACTGAATAGCAAACTTGCTATCACTCAATATTGTGATGGGAATCTGTATAGACACATTAAGATCTTTGAACAGTCCTAGTAACCGGGTCACTTTTGTTACAGCTGAAGCCATGCTTCTATACTCAGCTTCAGCTGAGCTTCAGGTTGTTTCTTTGATTTCCATGATACTATAGAATCTCCAAACTTCACTATACACCTTGTAACTGATCTTCTGGTGTTGGGACATGCAACCTAATCTGAATCACACCAACATGTTAGCTTGGGGTCACTTGTGATACTAAGCATCGTCCTTCTAAGTTCATATCTACCCAACACCGTCATATCTTAGAAGTCTGACTTCTTCTCTTTGGCCCATTAACACCGTCCTTCTAAGTTCATATCTGCCCAACTAAAGGAAACTTGAACTATATTTAAGAGGCTCATCATTGGCTATATATGATCCCTTTGATCAACCTCTAAAGGGTAATAAATAATGTTTACATTAGCCTATTCCACATTGACAACTCAAATATACTTTTAAGGCACACATGAAGAATCATTAACTTAATTGGAACCTCGCCTAACTACATACGATCTCAGGGAAACCTCTTAATGCTCTTGCTAATCTAATGATTTAGCCACACTCTTTTGATCTCATTTAAGAGTCATAATACCATATTTATACCACTCAGTAACACCTTAATTCCTCACCTAATTTATGTCAAATCTACTAGATGAGATCTAGAACTAACATCATCACCATCACATTGTCATCCTTTTTTGTCACGACACTCATCTCAAATTCAAGTTTAGTGTCTAGTATTAAACACATATATCAATATAATTGCTCGCATACTAGCTATACTAACTTACAACTACTAGATAAAATTAAGAAACACTCGCCCACTAAGATCTCCTGACAAGTAGTCAATCTTTATCTCCTAACCTATCTATCTACATATTATTGT